AATTAATTAATTCAAAAACAATTCATATGGCTCTCTTCTGTGTTTATTATGTCCAGAAAACTGACCACAATATATTATTTACTGTGTATATTATCAATATTATACATCTACACATAATATATATATAATAATATGGGTAATATATATGATATTAATATATAACGATATGGGTTTTACATATAACATATGAAAATATGTTGTTTTTATGTATGTTTTATAAATATAAAATTTTTAATATGTCAATTTTAAAAACAACATTTGGAAACCTGTACAGGTAGAAATAATTTATTTTCCAATAATTAGTACCACAAAATATGAACAAGACAAATTACTATCTATTATAGTACTTATCATGATGCTAGGTAACTAATATAAATGTCAAAGTTATAATTTAGCCAAAAGTAAATTTTATTTCTTTGTTTTTNTAACTAATATAAATGTCAAAGTTATAATTTAGCCAAAAGTAAATTTTATTTCTTTGTTTTTAAAATAGCTTGTCATTCTCTTTTCTAATGACTAGTTAAAAGTGCTTTTTCAATTAAAGAACAACTAGTTTATGTAACATATTTAAACACTACTATTTCTGCTTTAATTTGGCTCAAAATCCTTCCCAACATTCTTAATGTCATGGTTCATGCAGAGGGAGATAATATAACACATTGTGATAAACAAGGAGATTCTGCCTAGCTTCAGTAGATTTTGGCCTAAAGCAGCATCTAGCAAATTGCTATGAGAATAAATCATAGTCAAATTAAGCATTAGCTTAAATAAAACAGAACCCGTGTTCCTCATTAGTGTCTGTTAATTTATAGGTTAGCAAGAGTTACCAATATCAGCTCAAGTTAAAATGGTATTTTGAGACTATGGATGACATACACTATATATTTAACTTAATCATTCCACACCTTGCTCTCTTTCATCATATTTACCTTGCAAAATTCCCCAAGGGTAGTGACGGCCTCTGACCATCCTTTTCCCAACTTTTACTTCATCCATACTTCCCACCACAGCAAAAGGTAACAGTCCCTAGAAAATAAGAATAATATGATTTGAATTTCCTCATACCAATATGGCTTACTATGTTACTCTTATTTCTGTTACAGAAACTACAGAGTGCGATCAAAGAAGGAGTCCACTCTGCATAAGATTTTAAGACTTAGTAGCAAACATGTAAGCTTTTATATCAGGCCATGCATGTACTTGAAAATTATCTACTAAGTAAAGCCAAAAATGAGGCATCCCGCTGTGAAAAACAGAAAGAAAAAAGATTCTTAGTAGACTAACAAAAAAAGAGAAAAGACTCAAATAAATATAATCAAAAATCATAAAGGAGCTATTATAGCTGATATCAGAGAAATGTCAAAAAAAAAAAAAACAGTTGAGATTGTTACGAACAACTATACACTGATGAGTTGCAAAACCTAGAGAAAACGGATAAATTCCTGACACATGAAACCTACCAAGATTGAACCAAGAAGAAATTTTAAAAATCTGAACAGAGTAATTACGAGCAACAAGATTAAGTAAGAAAAAGTCTGCCATCAAATAAAAGTACAGGACTTTATGGCTTAGCTGTTAAATTCTACCAAATTTTTAAAGAAGAACTAATGCCAATTTTTCTCCAACTCTTTTAGAAAATTAAACAGAAGGAAATGCTTCCAACCTCATTCTACAATGCCAGCATTACCCTGATACAAAACCCGGACAAGGACACACACAC